GGGAGATAGCTCAGTAGGATAAGTGCTTGCCTGGCAAGCACAAGGGCCTGAGTTCAATCCCCGGTTCTGCAAAAAAAAAAAAAAAAAAAAAAAGTTTTCTAAGGGGCTGGCGATATATAGTTCAGTGGCATGAGCACCTGTCTGGCAAGCACAAGGTCCCAGTTTCGATCCCAAGCACAGAGAGGGAAAAAAAAGACCGCCTCCAGAAAAAAAAAAGTCCTTTCCATTCAGTATTTTTTTTTTTTTAAAGAAAAAATATGACTCCTTGGCAGAGGTCTAGGAAGAGGAACTTGAAAATGGAAAGCACATTATTATTTGACTTCCTGGGATCTCCTTGATTTTGTTGGTGTTGTTTTAGATTGACTATAGCTTACGTGGCTGAAAAGCTGTATTTTAATTAGCTTGCCTAGTAAAAATACTTGAGTGAAACAGGTTGTTAAAGATTGGCTTCTGGTCCTTTACTAAGACTATTTAAAGTCAGTTTATTGTATTACCCTACTACATTCAAAATGGTTTTCTAATTTTGCTGACTTCTGTGTGGGAGTGAGCATGTTACAATTCAGGATTATTTGCAGTGATTTTTCTAATGGAATTCTTTACTTTGGAATTTGTTATTACAATCTACTTTTGTTTTTTTCGTTTTTACATGTGGTAGAGAGTCTTAGTCAAACTCATATCTTCAGTTCATATGATTTAAAAATGTTTAAAGATGTGGTATATGTCACTTTTGAACACTAGGAATGTGGCAGTGCTCAAGATAGGTGGTTTTTGTTTGCAGGGAGCATTATGTTCTAGTGGGAAATACTCTATATGTAATTGTATATTGTATTTTTTGTTTCCTTTAAGTTTTTTTTTCTGTTAGTGCATGTTCATATAGTACATAGATAACATTGATCATGGGGAGTTGGTATATTTGTTTGGTTTTGCTCTTTTGAAACAGGGTCACTGTAGTTTAGTCTAGCCTCAAACTTAGTATATACACCATTGTTATCCTTGAAATTACAATGTTCCTCCTGCCTCAGCTTCCTAAGTGCTGGGATTACAGGCATGTGCTACCATGTCTGGCAGAATTGGCACATATACATAGCACTTTTTTTTTTTTTTTTGCCGTACCAGGGATTGAACTCAGAGCCTTGCGCTTGCCAGGCAAGTACTTATTCTACTGAACCATCTCAACATAGCACATCTTAACTGTTTTGGTTTTCTATGTAGATAGAATTATTTAAATCAGACCTGTAGAGAAAAAGTAGGTTGAAGTACACAAAACTATAGGTACAGTATATTCTTAGAGGTTGAAAAATAGGTATATGAATATTCTTGAAGATAAAAATGACAGTTGGAATAGTGCATGAGAGAGCAACTTATAAACTGTGCTTTTCAGTTGTACTTAGTCATTAAGAGGCAGGCTGCATCATAAAAGCATAGGAAATTAGAACTTGTATCTTTCATTAATTCCTTGGCTTAGAAAAGTTGAGTTTAGTGCCAAATCAGGAAAATCTAGTAACCCTGTTGTCTTTGTTGTAGCTGTTTAAGCTAGGGTATGAGAAAATTGCAGCCTTTTTGCTTGTTACACTGCCAAGTTGTAAATTGCTCAAAAGTAAATCTTGGCATTAAGTACTAGAGTTTAAAAGGCAGTCTCCAAAGTACAGCTTTCAGTTCTACTCGTTTACTTGGCTAGATGTTTAGTGTACATGTTGAAGGAAAAATAATTGCTTATTAGATTATTTTAGGATTGCTTTGCAATAGTGGTCTTAACTCTCTAACGTGAGAAGCTGAAAGAGTACATAGGATCCAAAATGTACAGTGGATACTATAAAATGGGAAGAAACTTGTTCAAAAGGAAAGAGAAACTGGGATGGGGGAAAGGAGAAAAGGAAAAAGTATATGTATACACATGCACATTCAAGATAGTTAATGCTAATTTCTCTTAGTTCATTGAAAAAGTTTTGTGATGCTATTATTTGGACAATTCAGTGCCTATGTCTTGTATTCTGAGTAAGTGAAAGATAATGGTATGCAATGTATTGCAATATTACTCTATTTTGTAATTTTTTTTCTCTTTACATAAAAAAAGCCAGGGCTATAACTCAGTAGCACAGCACCTGCCTGGCAAGCGTGAGGTCCTGAGATCAATTTCTAGTCCAAAAGTATAAAACTAAATAAAATTTTTAAAAATTTAATTTACAAAATAATAATCTTAAAAGATAAAATTGTTTGATGTATTTGTTGCATAAAACATATGCCAAAATTTTTGAAGTCTTAGAGGGACTGAATGTTTGTTTCCTTCTTTGGCTTTTAAAACAGGATCCTCATTGTGTAGTCCATGCTGGCCTCAAACTCATAATGATCCTCCTGCCTCACTCAGCCTTTTGAGTACTAGTATTACAAGCATATGCTGCTATGCCCAGCACTTTTTTTTTTTTTTAATCTTTTATTTATTTGGTATAGGGTCTTGCTATGCAGCGCACACTGGCAGCGATCCTTCTGTCTCAGCCCCCTCCCCCCCAGCACTGAGATTACAGGTGTATGCCACCATACCCGGTTTCAGTGATCTGCTCAGTGCTCCTAGGGCCAGGGCCAGCACAGCATGTGGTACTAGGGATCTAACCCGGGTCCTTGTGTTTGCCAGGCAGGCAGTTAGACTGCCAAGCTATCTCTCTAGCCCACCCAGCACTTTTTTTTTTTTTTTTTTAATGTGTTTGGTTTGTTGCAGGATCTCGCTATGCAGCTCAGACTTGTGGTTATCCTCTGCTTTTAGCCTCCCAGTGCTGGAATTATAGGTGTATGTCAGTACACCCGGACTCTGGCCGGCTTAGCTTAGCACACGTGGTGGTGGTGCTGGCATGGCATGTGGTGCTGGGGATCGAACCATAGTCTCTGCGCTTGCCTAAGCTTGCCTAACAAGGTTCTTTAGTCCACTTAGCTATCTCGCCGGCCCACACCCAGCACATTTTTAATGAAATATTTTTGTGATTTTAGAGTTCAAATTCTAAGTAAGCAGTAAGCTATTTTCCCACTCCATAAAATAAATTCTTACAACTTAATTTACTTACAAAAAATACATGCTATTTAAGCATACAAAAGAAAGTTGAGGGGCTGGTGAGATGGCTCAGTGGTCTAAAGCACCTCCTTAGAACAAGCTAAGCTAAGCAAAAGCAGAGACCGCCGTTCAATCCCCAGCACCACATGCCAGCCAGCCCCGCCCCCTGGTGGGCTGAACTGGCCACACACACACACACACACACACGAAATAAAGTTGAAATAATTTGTAATCCTATGGCTTTGAAACATTTTAATGGGTATAATTTAAAATTTGTAAATTCTATTTGAATGTTCTTTTTATAGGTAAGCGAAGATTTAATATTAAATTGTGGAAGACCTTCACTGATTGTTTTAACTGTCTGCCTATAGCTGCCATTGTGGATGAGAAGATCTTCTGTTGTCATGGAGGTAGAATAATAAATTTGCCCTATGAACTTTTCTTACTGTTATTCCATTACTCATAAAAGACAATTCATTCATTTATGAGATAGTCTTTTGTTATGTAGTTCAGGCTTGCCTTAAACTCACTATGTCTAGGCTGTAGTCCAGGCTGGCCTTTAACTTGGGGTAATTCTCCTGCCTTAGCATCCCAACTGCTGAGTTGTAAGCATGTATCACCATGCCTGCTAAGACCTATAATTAAGATGCTCTTGAGAAACAGTGGCAGTTTGACATGAGTGTTTTTAAAGAATTTCTCAAGCAGTAGCTATAGAATTTTTCATCTTACCTTTGTCTCAGTTTGTTTTATTTTCTCTTGTTTTTTGGTTTTAAAATGCAAAGGACTAAACCTAGGCTTCATACATAGTAGGCAAACACTCATTGCCATTGGACTACATATGGACCTTAAGTTTTGACAGAAATACTCCTGATAATATTTAAGTCTTTTTACTTATTTATATATTTATTTGGTACAGGGTCTTGCTATGCAACTCAGACTCATAGTGATCTTCCTGCCCCAGTCTCCCCAGGTCTGAGATTACAGGCATGTGCCACAACACCCAGTTTCAGTGGCCAGCTCAACACGGGCTAGCTTGGCATGAGATGCCAGAGATCGAACTTGGGTCCTTGCACTTGCCAGGCCTCCAGGCTATCTCCCGGCGCAGTTTGTGTATATTTTTAAAGCTCTAGGCTTCATGCAGTATGTCAGCTTTAGTCTTAATAATTTTTGTAACTGAACATGGTGATACACCTCTGTAACTTGGTGGACTGAGGCAGGAGAATCACCATGACTACAGGACCCTTAACTTGAGACGTGTGTAATTCAGCCTGGCTTTGAACTCACTTTGTAGCCTAGGCTGACCTCAAAAATTGATCCTCATACTTCAGCCTCCCAAGTGCTGGTGGAGGCATGACTTTTAAGAGATAGTAGACTTTAGAGAAATGAAAAGAACATGAGAAAGCAATATACATTCATTCTCTATTCTCGAGAATATGTGAGGCCTGATCCAACTAAACTAGACTAATATATATATAGGGAATGATGAGATCAGATTATAAAAATTTGAATAGTGAGCAAGAAGACTATTAAATATTATAATTGTTGAATTTTTGTGTAGAGAAATAATTCAACAAAATTAATGTAGGAAAATTGCTCTTTTTGTTAATAAATGGGGATAACTACAATGAAAAAATGCTGAAAAGATACACTTAATTAGGCCTTAGGTAGTAAGTAGTTTATTTCATAATTCAGTGTATTAATTGAAATGTTTTCAAGTAGATAGTAAACATTTAAGATGTAGTTCTTGTACATTTAGTATAGCTAAGTACAAATAGAAAAGTATAGAATATTGGTGTTTAGCTGTATTCTTTTTTTCTTTTTTTTTTTTTTTTTTGGTGGAACCAGGTATTGAACTCAGGCCCTTATGCTTGCCAGGGAAGCGCTTATTCCACTGAGCCATCTCCCCGGCCCCATAGCTGTATTCTTTATGATACTAAGATTACCTATCAGAGAGTATAATACATACCACTTTAAATATTTTAAAGTATATTCATGTTTTTTATTTCCTTGTTTATCCCTTTAATAAGTAGTTGAATGCCTTCATAAAGTATTGGGCAGGTTAGAGGAGAATGTGAGAAAATACTCTTAGGAGGGGACCAACTGAGACATTTTGACTTAGAAGCAGAATGTTTTACTTGGAGTGGTCACAAAATAGCAAAAGTAGTAAGAAGTATTGCAATTGAGTACTGTTTGTTTACATGAAGGGGGGGGGAGATGGTAAAGAGAATAATGGGAATCTTTGGGAAATCTTTTGAAATAGAATTACCTTTTCTTGATGGAGAAAATAGAGAAGACTATGATCATAATAATGTTTTGCCAAATACTAGGATTACGGCCCCTATTTTTATTAATAGGACTGTCACCAGACCTACAATCTATGGAACAGATTCGGAGAATTATGAGACCCACTGATGTGCCTGATACAGGTCAGTACATAAAGAAAAATTGTTTTGTGTAAATGTTGACATAGTTGAACCTAACTTAACTTAGAGGAAGTGGACTTGGTTTACTAAATAAACCTTTGTATTCAATAACTGCAAATTATTTGCAGTACTGCAGAATAATTTACTTTTCGCTACTCATTCCCCAAAGTGCAAAACCTTTAGATTTTATATAACCATAACATGGTTCTGCCAAGCTTAGTTTGTTGTACACACAGAAAGATCTTTCTGTGGATTCTTCTTACCTTCCTATCTTTCCAAATTCCTTCAGTCATATTGGCATTTATTAGGTCCTTCAGAAGCCTGTTAAATTAGTCAGGTGTTTTTTTTTTTTTTTTTTTTTTTTTTTTTTTTTTTTTTTTTTTTTTTTTTTTTTTTTTTTGCAGAACTGGGGATTGAACTCAGGTTCTTGTGTTTGCCAGGCAAGCATTTATTCCACTGAGCGTCATCCCAGCTAGTCAGGATTTTAAATAATCCTTTTCTTTCCTCTTTCTCAGATGCTTTCCTGTGAATTGTCTAGTTTTTTTTTTTGTTTTTTTTTTTTTCTGTATCATCTGTATTTCATATTTTTAGAACTCTAAAGGCTCTAGAGTCCTATGGTCAATTTTATGAAAATTTTGTGAAAAACTTAAACAAGTTGATTATCCATACCTTAAGAACAGCTCTGAAATAGTTAATAAGATAAAAGTGAAGTGCTTTAAGAAAAAAATTAGTACTAGTTGAGGATAAAATGCTGTATTAATTAACAAATGAGCCTAATACAACTTTACAAATTGATAGACGACATTGCCACTTAGCCTAACTTTTCTGTTTAAAATAACGTTATTTATATTTGAATCGCATGTAGAAGCTAAGGTATCAAATTATGGCATTTATATAAAATGAATGAAAATGCCATCAAGACCTACTGGATTAAACATAGTTAAGTTGTTCCATTTAGTGTTTGCTTAAGACATTAGTACCTGTCTTTGTGGTTCCCTGTACCAGATGTATGTGATTTTTCCCAAACCATGACCAGTTCTCCAATACCATCTGGGTATGTAGTTTTAGTTCTGATGCTGGCTTCCAAATACTTCACAGGTTGAGGGCTCAGTCCACAAGGCTGTTCCCATTTCATTTCAGATGTCAGCTGCAAGTGGCATCCCCAGATAACACACGCTTCTGCCTAGCAGACTGTGAACTCCATAATCCTTTCCTTGAATAACTTACTTGTTCTCTAAGTGGGTCAAGCATTGAATTAATTAATTAGTTAATTAATTACTTATTTTTAATTTATTTTGCGGAACTGGGGATTGAATTCAGGCCCTTAATCTACTGAGCTATCTCTCCGGCCCCTAAAGTCAAGAATTTAATCTGATTTGTCCTTCACTTTTTTTTTTTTTTTTAAATCAGGCCTTAGTAGGAAATGTTTTTGTTGACCAGTGAGATAGCTCAGCAGCATAAGTGCCTTTCTGGCAAGCCCCAGTATTAAACTGTAGGACCTTTTCAGTACCGGAAAAAAGGAAAATATTTTCTTTTCCTCAAATTGACCTATAGATCAGATGCAATTCCAGTGGAGTCACAGTGGAGTTTTTCATGGACTTAGACAAGCTGATCCTGAAGTTCATATAGAAAAACAAAGTATTCAAAGTAGCTAGGACAAGGCCAGGGAGATAGCACAGTAGAAGAGCTTGCCTGGCCAGCACAAGGGCCTGAGTTCAGTCTCTGCCAAAAAAAAAAAAAAAAAAAAGCTAGGACAGTCCAGAAGAGGAATTAATTGGAGATAGTAGTCCTAGCAAATATACTTACTTGAAGGCTCTAATATGTTGGTAAGCAAAAAATGAATAGAATGTACTGTGATGCTCAGAAACAGTGTAGCTCTGGAAGAAAAGAATGAACTACTCAGGAAGTGGTGCTGGATCACTTGGCTAATTAAGTGGAGAAACTATAAACTAATGATTTATGCATGTTGTGCTAATAGTATGCCATATATATCCTTATATGAGAAAGCATTGAAAAGTACTGCCTGAACAGGCTAGCAAGCTTATATTTATCTCGCTGCTTTAACAAATAAATAGGGGTAGTTAGGGGCAGGATTATTATTCCTAATTAAAGAGCGATATAGCTATACTTCACTGTGTACATTTTGTTTTATTTTCAATTGCTGTTTATGTCCCCTATAGGTTTGCTTTGTGATTTGCTGTGGTCTGACCCAGATAAAGATGTGCAAGGTTGGGGAGAAAATGATCGTGGTGTTTCCTTTACTTTTGGAGCTGATGTAGTCAGTAAATTTCTGAATCGTCATGACTTAGACTTGATTTGTCGAGCTCATCAGGTATGAAACTTATATAAGATACTTGGGTATTTCATTGTTAACTTCCTTCAGCCCTCCCATATTTTTGAAAGTTGATTTGTACAAGGAAAGCAGTGAGAGAGCCTAATACTTGCAGTCAGTGACTTGTTAATCTTTTTCTTGCCATATGTAGTGTAATATTTCCAAAGAATATATTTTATGATACAGTGTGATAGAACCCTAACAAAATGTTTTGAAGTCAGTGCTTTCCTGACTAGATTTTGTGATGTAGATTGTTTTTTATTATTGATAACAGGATAAGCCATGATGTGAATTTTTTTCTTAATCAGAACAAACTATACTGTAAGAAATTTTGAGGGGTGGTTGAATTTTATTGTGTCATAGGTAATATATCAGGATTTCATTTCAGCTTTGATAAAATCATTGTCACTTATGAAGAATGTCCATTTTTTGCAAATACATAACTCATCTAGATATATAGTCTTCATGCTTTGTAAAACATAAGTAGTCAGTATAAAATACACAGATTGAAAGACTTTTTTTTTTTTTTTTTTTTGGCGGACAGGGGATTGAACTCAGGTCCTTAGCTTGCCAGGGAAGTGCTTATTCCACTGAGCCATCTCCCCAGCCCCAAACATTCTTTTTTTTAAATGGAACCGAGGATTGAACTCAGGCCCTTTTTATTCTGCTGAGCTGTCTCCCCAGCCCTGAAAGGCATTTCTAAACATCACCATTTTGGAGGTTACAACATTTTGAAATTTATAAACATAGTTAAGATTCTTTTGGGGCCAGGGAGATGGCTCAGTAGAATAAGCGCTTCCCTGGCAAGTGCAAGGGTCTGAGTTCAATCCC